GAATGTACATTTATATAAAATATGGAACAGCTTGCATATATTTTGCAGATAGCTAATATATTTTCTTGGGAACGCTGCACAGTTATATATATCTCCCTAATTGTGTGTCATTACCTATTCATGTTCTTGCTGCATTAGATGAAATAGTGTTTCATTTGCGCATACATTTTGTGTAATAAATGTTGAACATGTTATAGTGGAACATGCTCACTCTTTTTATTTTTACAAATAATTACAGCCCTATAAACATTTATCTTTGGTATCATTTTCTTGTTTAGCTGCAGGTAGTCCTCATAAGTATGAGCCCCTAAGGCAGGGCTAGACAAATACCTGGAGTCAGGTAGTCAATTCTTAAAATTACAGCTGGCACCTAACTTTTGAGGTTTTTTCTTGTCATCAATGTCACCATCTCCTGGATTAGACTAGTTCCTGATTTCTATATTAATTTACCCACCCCTGCCCTAGTAGTCCATTTTATGATGTTTGATGAGCACCCTCTGGTGCTTAGTGCAAAATAATTAATATTGAACCAGATGCTTAGTAACATTTCAAGACCAGTTGCTACATAAATAGTTCATAAAGACATATGTGAGCTGTCCTATCAGTCAAAGCATTTGTAATTCTATCTTGCCATTTTTATGTTTCATACACCTGCCAGACAGCAGATCCATGAGTGTAGATTTGTAGAGTGTAGAGGTACTTTCTATTTTAAGTAAAACAGTATCACCTCCAATTCCTTGCCTGCTGATCGGGCATTGAAGGAGCAGAAACATGATGATAATTCATCAACATCAATCTTGTCACACCTTCTGCCTGCATGTTTTCCATCATTACATGTGCACGCAGTAAAGCTTCAGTGGCTCCTAGTGCTAACAGCCTTGCTGCTATGCAGAAAAAAAAAGAGATAGATATCTGACAGTATTTTCAAACAGATACACAACTGCATTAACTGGTGTTTTATAACTTTCTTGAGTTCCCTATTAAATATATATTTTTGGGGCAGTATACAGCAGTACTGGGCTACAGTTTATCAGTCATCTCCTCCCACCTCAGAATAAGTTTAAAGCTGTTAATATGGAAGGGGCTACTTTTGGAAAGAGTTGTGTCCTGCACCATGGTTAGTTGCTTTGTGGAACTAAAATCAGTCTCATTTCTTTCAACAGGGTATTCAAATATCTTCCCTTTAGTTGAAATCATATGACTAAATGCTACAAGGGCAAGTTTTACCATACATTTTTAATCAATTATAACAAGTAGAAGCAGTATGGTCAGCTTGGGGTCACATTATTATATTTTTTTTATTGGTCTGCTTTAAAGTAAACATGTCCATACAGGGCAAAGAAGGTTAAAGTTAATGATACAGTATCTCCACCGGATGCACATACTCACGTTCCCTTTGCTCTTCTGCCTTTCTGGCTCTCCAATTCTTTCAGTCATGAAGTATGTGGCTTACTTCCCTTCCTCCCATGTAACAGCGCAGGTGCTTGACGCTTAGCCATATCCAGCACTTTCACATGGGGTAGGAAAAGATACCTTAGCCTTGTGTAAGCTCTAAGCTTTATGTTTACAACACTACCGGCAACTAAATGGGGCAACAAATGGAAAGTACAGCTGGTGTGTCTGATATTGAAGTGAACTTGCTGCTTTGCCTTTATGCCGTCAAATTGGCAGCGTTTTTGGGTTCAAATATACGTGCTCAGGTCATTTGTGCTTGGTCAAAGGGTCTAAACCTTTATATTTGCCTAATGCTTTAAAAATAAAAGTCTTCCATTTGCCTGCTCTGTATTGGAAGAATGCAGTCAGCAGAATTACCCTGCCTCTGTAGTAAATTGTCATTTGGAATAGAAGGAACAAAAGAATCTCAGTTTGGCAGCTATCGGCAAGCAGACTGTGCCGAGCAGAGTTCAGCTGGGTGTTTGTTTTACAGAGATGATTAGTGAAGAGACAGGTTTGTTTTATCCAGATAACGAGCACAGCAATTTTTACTTCTTAATTATAAATTGGACGCAGTATGGCATCTCTTTCTCTCCCTCATTAGGATAACTCTTTCCCTGCCTGAACATCTAAAAATACATAATTGTTTTACTCTCTAATGTCAGTTATTGTGGCAGTGAGTTTGTTGACACACCTCTGTAAAGGTCCACTCCAGCCAAGCATGAAATTAGACATACTCATCTTGTGCAGCCCAGTGTTTGGCTTTCTAAAACATGACCATTATCTTCATATTCAGAATGATCCCAGATATTTTGGAACCTAACCTAAAACCTAAGGAATCTGAGTACAGAGTTTTGGAGTTGGTTATTAAAGTTACATAGTTACATAGTATTTGAGGTTGAATAAAGACATCAGTCCATACCCTATAAGTTGGCTATATAAATCTCTGATTAAAGCTAAGGAAGCCCTGAACAATAGCCTTGCCTCGTTAGCTGACTGTCCCAGTAATTAAAACAATTAAGCTAAATGCCCCAAATACATGTCTAAATCCACAACCATGTGATCCCATGTCTTTTTGCTCCTGCACTGAAAAGTGAGAGGGTTCTTCTTCGGGTGCCCCTATCACGATCTGGTAATGTGGACACTTCCCATTGGATCCATCAGGCTATAATGTCCTAAAGACTGCAGCAGCAATTTGGTGTTGTCACAATGGGGGACGGTGAAAAGTCAGTGGCAGGTCCAGAGTGCAATGGTGGATCACCAGGCTTCTGTCCCTGAAGTGTCACCATGGTGATCATATAACAGCAGATTCAATGAAATTGTTAGAATAGGAGCACTCCCTCCAGACTGTCTACTCCACTGCAGCGATGGAATGCCCCTCAGCGTCCTCATGTCCAATACACAGTGTATTGGATGTGATGACTCAATAATCCTTAGAGCGCTCGAGCAGAGGGGGAGAGAGGCTTGATGGACCGATCTAAGAGCCAGCTGGCTCCAGTGTTCAAGTGAGCATAACTTTTTTTATTTTAAACCCTAGACCAAAACGAGCACTTAACCCTTACAGTATGTGGGTAGCCCCACTGCAAGGGTTAAGAATAGTTTTTCCGGGAGTTCCTCTTTAACTATAGTAATTTAGCCTGTAATCTATCTACATAACTCATACATTTTAGGGTGTTTTATTTCTATGAACAGTAGCAGAGAACTTCTTTTTTTTAATGTGTGCAGCCTTTACTTCCAGTATAGTCCTATAGTGTTCATGTGTAACTCAAAATTCCATGGTGCAAATCTTATTACTGCTTAGACACTGGGAAATAGACTCTTTGCCAAAATGAACTACCATGGCTCAAATATGTTGGTTTAGAAATACACTGTACTGTTTTTCTTTTGCTGAAATGTCAATTACACTTCTATTTTTTTTTGTATCTGTTGTCTTTATTATTTGTAACTGTTTATGGCCATTAAACTACCTCCCACTCAGGCACCAACAAGCTTAGAAAGATGACTTTTAGTATAGATTGATCTAATAAAAAACACCAGAGAACTCCAGACTAAGTAGAGAGAAATGTGCTTCTTCATTAGGCTTCACCCTCCAGTTCGTGCCTGCAGGAGAAAGATCGATGTCTTATTTGTCATTTTAAAACAGTGTGTACTGTGCCCCTCAGTTACACTCATTTGCAGAGTTCATTGTTACACATTAGAAAACTAATTTGAGCATATTACCTGCTATTTTTTCAAAACACAAGTTGTCCTCACATTTTACACTTCAGAAATCCAACATCGATACCATGGAATAAAGGTTTATCTGTAAGAGAGACGTTAATGATGGACTTCTATTAAAAAAAACATTTGCTGAAAGCAAGGCTGAAAACCAAGAAAAAGCTGTAATAACATTCTTCTTTAATGTCTACCTGTCCTAAAGATGAAGATAAAGACCAGACACCAGGTGTATATGAAAGGAAATTCAGAGTATCCTGGGGCCCCAACATTCTGGGAGCACTGTTATCCAAATACCAACCAACTGTTTGAGCTCATGCACTTCTTCCCTTTACTACTGGTCAGCAAGGAAGCCCATTGGTTCCATTAAGGATCCAACTGTGAGGTTCATGGACCCAAACTCAACTTGAGTTGTAAAGTCATAGGAATAAAAATGGCTCCCAGCACACTCTTCAAATTACTAAAAGTATATAACCCCTGGTATCAGTGTACTACATTTCAGTAGGGGTTCCCCCAAGGCTCTGTCCTTGGACCCCTTCTCTTCTCTATCTACACCTCGTCCCTTGGTCAGTTAATAACCACTTGTAGATTGTAAGCCTTCATGGGCAGAGCCTTCCTTACTATCTTGTCTTGAAATGAATTGTGATTGTAATGTCGTCCTTATATTGTAAAGTGCTGTGCAAACTGTTGGCGCATACATAAATTGCCAACCAAAGTAGGTGAAACAACCTTTACAAAGAAGATACATTCCTTGGAGTAGGAAATCTTCCACATTGCATTACTGTGCATTATGTTGCCTAGAATGCATTAAGTAGGGCTTTTCATGTGTTGACATACTCACAGGTGTAAAGAAGCCTTAGGAATGTTAGTGCTGTGGAATGCAACACCTCATCCCACACTTTATATTTCTTCTATGCAGACATTTCTAGAAGTCAGTAGTTGGTGCCCTGTGTTCCTTTCAAAAGTGAGTTTTCTGCTTTCATGTTAGTGACAAGTCCACTTTAGGGATTTTAAAGTACATTAAAAAAAACTAAAGTGTACAGTTTGTTGATCTTTGTTTTGTTCCATTTGAATAATTGTAAATGATATGGTGTTACTTAGTGGCTAAGTATTGCCTGCAGGTTGAATCAGTGCTGATAAACATATTTATAGACATCGCCAGGGCTTTCTTACTGTGAAATGTATACATTGATGCTTTCCAGGAATCTTGGATTCATTGCCTGGATGTTTCAGCTAAGTACCTTCAAATGCCTTAGTATATGTATTGAATATACTGTAGGCTAGGTATCGCTCATCTCAATTGCGAAAATATTTTTAATTATTTAAAACACATCTTTCTTCCTCTTTCTCAGGTATATGAAAAAGGTACCAATGTCGATCAGTTTGTAACAAGATTTCTGCTGAAGGAGACAGCCAATCAGATCCAGTCACTTCTCAGTTCTGTGGAGAGTGCTGTTGATGCCATAGATGAGCAGACAAATCAAATCAGGTCAGTTAAATGAAGTATGATCTTAAATGCCTTTGGGAATCCAATGATCAAATCCACTTTTAAATTTACAAACTGCCTTCTGTGGCTTTCCATGCCATCGCTCGGATACACTGGAAGCATATAAAAAGCTCTAAGCACTGCAGCAGCCTTACAGCCTTTAAAAAATTATATACTGTACATAATATTTTCTTAAAGGAGAAAAATGGCATTAACATAGATTTCGGTAATTAACCCAGTTTAAGAGCCAACTGGCACTTGTAACCCCTTTGTTCTGGATAAAGTATAAAAGAATCAATAACTCTCAGATTGCTGCCTAAGCCTCTATTGGGACAGTTCCCCTCACCTCTTGTTCTCAGTTCACCAGGAAATGAAGTGAGGGAACATCTTAGGGACACAGAAGGCTGAAGGAGAGTCTAGCCTTCCCGAAGTTTACAAAACATTTTTTTTATTGCTGCTTAAAAGTAGAATTAAACCTTCTTCTTTTTGTATACATCAACTGCTAGCAAGCATTAGATATATGCAAAAACATTTAAAAAATGTAAAAAAAAGTTACCAAAAAGGTTATTACTTACCACATGATCTGAAGATTCTCAATCGGCCGTGAAGGATCATGGGGCGGGCGCATGTGCACTAGAGATATTCGGCCACGAGAAGAGGAGAGACACAGTGTAAGTCAATGCAAGCAGCCCGGCAGCGTGCACGCACACAGACACCGTGGGACACAGAGGACACAGCAGCCAGCACTGGATCAGAGACCGGCACCAGTGCTGGAAGGACTCCTGAAAACTACTGGAAAGAAGAAGATGATTGGATCAAGAGGCATCATTTAAGGTAAGTCCTTAAAGCAGTATGGGGGGGGGATTTTTGACTTTAATGTCACTTTAAGCCTGCTAGAGAGACTTCTGTTTTTTGATTGTCTGTTGCCCTGCTGGGGAGGTCTCCCCACACCTGTTCCAGTGATAGCGATGCAGAAAATGAGGGAAAATGTAAGTAAGTCAACAATGACAAATGTTTTAGACTCTAATGCTGTCTAATTTGGCACTCTCATTGGACTTTGTATATGCATATACTGTATCTTCAACCCTGGATTCCCTTGTATGTGGGGCGTCACATTTTTGTTGAGAGCAGCCTCTTCTGAATATTTGAATCCAGCACCTCACCTGTACTTATTCCACAAAACTAAGGCAGGCTGGGAGGTTGAGGGATTATGCAGGCTGTCCTGCTGCTTTGATTAAATCACCTGAAGGTAACTGCATAACCCCATGGTTAAAGAATTCAACTCCCTGCATCCTCTGATGTATTCCAAGAAACAAATTTTACAGGTAAGTCAAAATTCCTGTTTTAATAACAGTGGACTCTAGCCATCTCATGTAACATGTCTCTAGTCTATGACTGTCTCCTTAGGGGCATCCCCAGTCTCTAACATTTATGGAATACCATCTCCTGTGGCATACCCACAGTTTCTTACCATCTATTTTTGCCTTTGTAATCTCTAACGGCTAGCATTATATACACTGAATATTATGTGCAGCCCTTTGGTGATATCAGGAGCCATATCCCATATGTCAAGTAAGTTGGTCACCGCTGATATAAGCCTTTCAAATGCTCATGGTGTTTAAAAGATTAAATGGAATTAGGCATGGTTGACTAGCTCTATTAAAAGAGAGAAAAATAAAGTGTGTGGCTGTCATCAAAGTTGACCCGTTTGCAAAGTTCCCAAATCACATTTAATGTTTGTCCGACAGAATTCTAGTTAACGTCTCATTGACCTTTATTGAATGTAATTTGTTGAATGCCTCTTACTGTTTTAGCTGCTAACAAATGTAATTGTTTAATTTTCTAGATGGGTATTGGGTAAGTGTCTGTGAAGGTGACCATCCAGTGGAGTTCTTTTTTCCAATTTGTTTGGGTGACAGAAAAAATATGCTATATGGTCTGCAATAGAAGTATTTCAACCAATGGAGCATGCCCTACTAAAGAGATAGATTGTGGTCATTGTAGACCACAAACTGAATGGTAGCTTGCAGTGCCAAGCTGTGGTAAACAAAGCTAGCAGGGTCTTGTCCTGTATTAAGAAGGGGATGTATTGGAGGGACAAGTCTATAATTGTGCCTCTATATAGATCGTTGGTTCGGCCACATCTGGAGTACGCGGTCCAGTTTTGGTCGCCGATACTGAGAAGGGATGTCCTTGAACTGGAGAGAGTCCAGCGGAGGGCAACAAAACTAATTAGGGGAATGGAGGACCAGAGCTATGAGACAAGGCTTCTGACCTTAAACATGTTTACGCTGGAATTAAGGAGATTAAGGGGGGGGTATGATTTTCATGTACAAGATGTTCAATGGTGACAGCAACATTGGCAACAAACTGTTTGAGATTAACTCCATTACAAAGACTAGAAGCCACCACCTAAAGTTGGTGGAGAAAAAATTCCAGCACAATGGGCGAAGAGGGTTCTTTACAGTAAGAGCGGTTAAGGTCTGGAACTCACTGCCATCGGCAGTGATTTCAGCCAGGAGTGTAGATTTGTTCAAGAAACGTTTGGACAATTTCTTGAGGGACCGTAATATCCAGGGATACCAGTATCCCTAAGAATGAGATGATGCGTGGACCTATATGGGTTGGACTTGATGGACGTATGTCTTTATTCAACCCGAAATACTATGTAAGATCTTAAGGGGTTGTATTGTATAATTCTTATAGAATGGTTAGATGAGGTGGGTATGCAAAATTGGGGTTAATTAGTGTTGGGGCTTTTATAGGGGATATATTGGTATTAGGGTTTCGCTTGGGTGTTGGAGGGGAGGTTAGGAATTGTTTATTTTATAGCACAGGTGCAAAAAGCAGAACTCCAGACAAAAATAACAAGACAAAAATGAATAGTCGGTTAAAAAAAACAAAAATCTAAACCAGCTTTTGCTGTAATTTTCAACTTCAATCCAGGAAATTCCCCCACAGGTTTTTTTCTGCTGCTAGATATCAGCATTCTGATGGCCAGCATCATTCAACCCAATTCATCCGAGAACAGGTAGTCCTGGGTCCATCCCAATCGTTGACTGGGCAGTAAAAGGGAAAAAATCACAGTGTTGAGCTAATCTCTCTGTCACTCTGCTTTTTACAATGAGGTTCGGATCAGCATTTGGCCTTGAGTACTATCAAGGGTTAAATCTCGGCACTTGTGATCTTGTTTCTGAGACCACTATCCTCCCATTCTTTGATCAAAACTTTTGTGCAGAGTGTCACACATGTAGCTCCCCATATGTTCACCCATCACTGAGTGGGATTTGAATTTGGTTCTTTCAGGACTTTAAAAACTACCTATTTAGAATACATTCTACATAGGCTGCCATCACCTCTGCAAGGCCCATGTCTGAACTGGTGGCCTTATATTGTAAAGAAATGTTTCTGGACTTACACAGAAACAAGGTAGCATTTAGGCCTAGAGCTGCTTTCATTCCTAGGGTGGTTTCAGCCTTTCACCACAACCAGGACATTTTACTTGCATCCCAAGTAACACTCCTCAGATAACACTGCTCCTTTCTATTAAAGGCACAGACTCTTAAAGGGGGTAAGACACCAATGGGTGGCCAATCTGAATGGACTTCTGGCCTAAATTGAGTCTCTTTCTTGAGGGAAACACAGAATATTGACTCGAACACGTGAGTGCCAATTGCCCCAAAATACCTGAGCCTGTGTAATGTGACCTGTGGAGATGTATTTCACTATTTGCCATGCCTGTTTTTGCAAAACATCCAGAACCTGAGATTGAAAGGCAGGTACTGTATGTCCATTTACCATAGCAGGACATCAAATGGAGGCAATATTAGACTCTGGAGGCCTTGTAACATTGCTCCATGCCAGTCTGGTGGACAATGCCAAGCTTGGCTCTCAGTGGGATTACTTTGTATACATGGCAGTACTAGAACTACCCTACTGTAGTGCTCTCAGTGGAAACACCTAGTGGTGCTGTAGTGTGTTAGTGCATCTGCTGTGGTAGAGACAGGTTAATTTGCTGATGCCCCTCTAATAAGCCTGGTGGCCTAAAGTCAGCTATTGAAACTGATGGGCAGTTTGTTAGTATTTGCCAATATGAACTAGTTTACAAGCTCCTCTGTTTTTTTTGTTGTTTTTTTTTCAACAATAGCTGTCTGTCTCTTTAAGGGTTTGCCTGCATCTGAGCACAATGTAAGGAGGGCAGGCTCAACTGGTACTGGCAACAGTGAACTATGCATGAGACTTATACAGTATATGATATTAGCTTAGCAAACAGTTTAGCCCGTTTTGTTGGATATACAGTATGCAAGCTAGTGAAACATAACTAGCAGACACCTAAAGACATAACATTAATTTGATTTAGCCTTCTTCAATGTTTCAACACTTTTTAAAAAAGCTAGACATGCTAACATTATTTGCCAGTTAGAAGTCAGAGTATTAACCATAGGGGTAATCTAAATGGCAGACATTTTAAAGCAAAATTATATATTGTAAAATAGAATGGACTTTATCTTGGAATATACATTGCATAATTCAGTAAATTTCCTCTTGGAGCATGGTAAGTATTAGCAGAAATATTTTAATAGTAATTGTGATTTATTCCAAGGTGCAATAATAAATAATGCAATGCATGATGCTAGAGGCTTTAAATTATCATTATGTATATTGAAAAGAATGGAGATAATGCAACTCAACTTTTGTTTGAGACAGCGACCTCAACTTGCCTGCTTAGTTGCATTGATAAAATACATCACCATGTTTCAGTATGCTGAAAGCCTTTAACCTCACAGAAATGACATTTGCATCAGCCCAAGGTGAGTCCCTGCAGCCTGGTTCATTTAACAATTTCCGAGCATGACAAAGATATTCTAAACCTAATGCAGAATTGCATTCTGATGGGTGTTCACATTCTTACGCAATCATCTTATTGTTCTGCCTGCTCCCAAAAGCACCCATGAAGTCAGTTTCTATGTTGCAGATAACAGGCAGGAGCTATGAGCCTCAGG